GCACCCAGCCGGCGATGGAAGCCAAGGAATTTCTGGCGCTTGGGAAGTGGCAAGCATGGATGCGTACATCTAGCCTGAAGAGGTGATGAGTGCAGCAGATAAGCATTGTGGCACCGTAAAGCTGGCCTAATATTAACGGCCAGGCATACGATTGTTACTGAGCTACAGGTACCTTTAATATATCCTGCAGGCCTATAGGTTGCCGATAAAAGCGAAGACTTCGTCAGACGAAGCAACAGGACTTCATGCCTGATGGAGCCTGTGATATGGGCTTCTGCGACACGATGCTTCCTGGATGCCAACAGGCCTTGAAAAGGTAAAATTGGCTGGTGCAGGGTGAGGAAGTGAAATTCAGCGTGAGCATTCTAAACAAACAGTTGCAGCATGGGCTGGGTGCAACGGCTGTTGTTCTTGCAGGCGAAGTTCAAGAAGTTGCACTTTCCGAAGCTCCTTTTCAACTTCAGCAGGCATGGACACCTTGACACAATTTTGGCCAGGAAAGGTTCCTTCCCATCTTTCCCTCCCAATCCCTTCCTCTTCCGGAGGCACCTGCACTTTGCGCTCAACCAGTCAGAGCAGTGATTGACTCAATTTTGAATGTGTTTGCGAACTTGAGTGGTGTAGTGCGCAGACATTTATGCAAAAAAAAGCCGACACGAGCACACGGCCGGTAAAGAAAGCCCAAGGTCGCACAAGATGATGAAGGAGGGAATGGCTTGGGCGTTCTCGGCCATGCCAGAGGCTGCCAAGTTTCAACTTCACGACTCACACGACTCATGCTGCTCCTGTGACGAAGTTTTGGCAACGCCGTGAAGATGCCGCAGGCTGTCACCGTCATGCTCCAGGAGATGGAACACCAGGAGGAGGACTGGGCTATGTGGCTATGTGGGACGCGTGCAGAGACCTATGACATGCTGATGCGTATGCGAATGTGAATGTCACAGGAGAAGAAGAAGCAGGCGGGTTCGAGAGGGCACGTCAGTCCGTTAATGTGCATCTTTGTTTTAATGGTGCCTAGAGACCCAAACTTCTCAATGGCCACCGTTTCCAGCACACATCAACGAAGAATGATATCATCTACGCCTACGCAATTCAGAATGAGCCTCAAAACCTTCATGTGCCTCATGTCCTGGGCCCTGGACCGCTTGGCAGACCGCTGTCCCCAACTACGGCTTCGGTAACTATGGGAACACCGGTCCGGTCAACAACGGCCGAGCTCTTATTGGATAGTTGTTTGGGGCTTTCTTTCAAATTTGCAATGGACCCATCTGTTGACGGCGTCGGTGGTAAATCAGACATACTACCAGGGACGGCATCATCAGGTCAAGTTAGCTTTGCTAGCTCCTACGCTTTTTGCACCAGTTCAGGAGCCCGCGCATGTGAGCAGCAAGGGCACGGATACTGCTCCGCAGGTCATGTGATCTGCCCCCAGAGCAGGAAGGTGCTGTGTGAGTGGGCAGGGGCCAAGGAAAAAGAGAAGATAAGGACAAAACGATAAGCAAAGATTTCCTCTGATATGCAGGCAGAAGATCAACAACACAACCCAGCAGAAGAAGCAGAAAAGCTGTGCGAGCAAACAGCCGGAAGCCAAAGAAGAGGTCAAGCCAGAAACCTCGACTGTCAGAAAAGCAGGATGCCAGAAAGCCAAGGAGTCACGACGCTACGGATACATGAACAGAAATTCAGAGAGCCAAGATACCTCCAGGGCAGCAAAACAGATGCACAGTGTCTTGGCCAGTTGTGAGAACGCCGCCGGATTGCCTCTTCCTTTTTACCACCACTGAAATGTGCAGCCCTTTGCAGCCACGGAGGGTAAAGCACTCTGTGCAACATACGGACGGCTGCGATGACCTCCTGATATGTTGTGACTGTCTATGTTGGTTGAGCCGCAAGGTCAATCCAGTTGGTTCAGTACACCCTCGCAGACAAGCGCCATTGCCAACACCCAGCAGGCAACCAGTCTGGTGTCGTAAAGGATTCCACGAGTAGCATTCAACCTGCGGAAGTCTGCGCAGATGCCAAGAGCCTTCGGAAAGTGGTGGAACACACAAAGAAGGCGCAGAGTACTTCCCGAGTGACTGTTATCATTTTTAATGGTTCAGAGGTTACGGGAGCGTCAGCAGCTCGCCATCAACAACGCTGCTGACTGAGCCAGAGTGCGCCAGACATTTTATGTCCAATTGTTGAAGTATGTTTTGCAGACACCTACTTGGAATTGTAGTCCACAGTGCTGACCAGTGGATGCCTGTCAGCTTGGCGTCATCATATGATAACGCAAGCGTGCCATGAACGATCTCAGGCTGGAGAAGTTGTGGAGATGCCGAACAGGCTGTTGCCGCACCAGGCAGCTGACACAATGAAAGACTGGGACTTCTGCGGTATTCCCTGTCGGGTGCGGGGTGGAAGTCTACCGCTGCGTTTTGGGCTATTTCAAAGCTTCCTATGTCCATGTAAGCATATTTTGAACTAGAAAATAGCAGCAAG